TCCCAGAGTACTACTCCCGTTTACTTTTTCCTTCCATCCGACTCAGTGATGAACTTTCAGGAATACCCAGAGAGAACCTGTCTACCTTAGGACACTCGATGTCTACTAAGAACATCTGCTGTACTGCACTGACCGAGGCCCACTGAATGTCAGAGCAGATGAAATATCTCAAAAATGCAGTGACTGCTAGACCAGTTGAAGCACCACCCTTTAGAAAATGGCGTTGTCTTAATGTTCTGAGTTGAATGAAGCAAAATGAGAAGGAATAAATAAAGAGGCAGAGTAGCAAATGAAGAAGGGTGAAGCAGCAGAAAGTGTTATCTCAATGATCCCTGCAGAATTTTCATGCTCAGTGCACCAGGCTTCTGTTTCATCGTAGTACCCCACCTCACAGGGCTATGATGATTCCATGATCGGGGGACCTAAAGAATAACGCCTGAAATACACTGAGCATTTAGTTAGTCGTCGGTGTCACAACTATTTTTTATGTGGGATTTGGAATAAGAAGGATCCAAGCTTAAGTACTAGCTCTAGCTATTACTTAGTAGACAACTTTGGGGGTAGTCCCTTGACCTGTAGGCCTTGTTTGCACATTGGAAGTTATGAACAAAAACAGCCTGGCCTAGAAAACAAAACTTACTCTCTCAATTTCTTTCTTTGCTATTATTTTTATTTCTCTTAATTTAGCAAGGAATGAATGAATTTGAAAGAACCATCTCATGTTGATAATTAGTTCCATTTTTCCCTCTCTTGATGGGATATCTAAAATTAAGATGAGAGGCTCTGATGGAAACAAATCAGAGTATGACATGAAATCTCAATGGGTGCAGATATGAGTGAGTGCTGTGTTTAAATAAGATCTTAATGCAAACCAGACTCAACATAATCTATATAGTTCAGGAACCATGTAATCCTGTTCCAATAAGCCAGGCTGTCAGACTCAATTTTGTCAAATCATATGTTACCTTAGACCTCAGATAAGGCAACTTAACAAATTAAATGTATACTATGAAATTAAATAGGGAATTTTATAAGTTATCTTTAAGAGTCTGGGATCAAATTTCAGTTGAATATAAGAAGTTAAATTAATTAAGCTTAGTTATTTCAAGACTGAGTTTAATGCTATCTAAATTAGATAGCTATGGATTTATTTTTCAGCCACTTAGATTGCAAAACATCAGCTAAAATATTTTGTATCTCACTTCCCATGATGGATCGTTCTCTCCCTTTTTGATTCTATCATTTAGTATTAGCAGACACTAGTCTTGTTTGTGTGATCCCTTTGACTCTTAGACCTATCAGTGTGATCAATTGTGAACTGAAATTGATCACTTGGACTAGTGAGATGGCATTGGTACATGCCACCTTGATGGGATTGTATCTTTCTAGAGATAACAGGAATATGCATACCCAGAATAATTATACCGTAAGCAAATGTGATTTGGGGGGAAAGCTTTAAGGAAATGGGGCTTTTCAAATTCTCATACTAAGAGTCTAAAGCTGCTACCTCTTCTAGTTCTCTACTCAGAGTCAATACTCCATAAATATATACGTTCTGACAGAAATGAAATTACTACTTTAAAGAGGTTAAAGAAATATCCTTTCTGGGGACCAGCACTGTGGCATAGCAGGTAGGGCAACTGCCTGCTGTGCCAGAATCCCATGTGGACACCGGTTCAGGTCCTGGCTGCTCTGCTTCCGATTCAGCTCTCTTTGGCCTGGAAAAACAGTGGAGGATGGCCCAAGTCCTTGCACCTGTTTGGGAGACCAGGCAGAAGCTCCTGGCTCCTGGCTCCTGGCTTCAGATGGGCATCGCTCCCAGCCATTGCAGCCAGTTGGGAAATGAGCCAGTGGATGGAAGACCTCTCCTCTCTCTGTGTAACTCTGACTTTCAAATAAATAAATGAATATTTTTTTAATTTCTTTTCTTGTATACATCCTAAACCAAAGTAATACTTTCTAGGCCTATTGGGAAAAGCCTTTGCTGTGACTTTTTGTAATTATTACTCTGTCTCTAGCTTTGTTTGCCTCTGTTTCACCAACTGCATAATTATGACAGCAGTCTTTGGAATCACCAATCATATTTTGATTATGTAACCTTTTGAACCTTGTTTGTTGGGGATTGGAGGAGCCTGTCATTTGTATTTGGAGATTAGAAGCTCAACCCTAAATGGATGTCATGTGCAATTAATTTTCAGTGGAGTGAAAGAGAAGCTAGGATGAAAGCCAGTTCCTTTGCTTGTTCTCAAAACGAATGCTTTTCTGACTCTGATACTAGAGAAACTTCATCAGAAGAACTTTAGTATGTTCAACCTCGTTTATTGTTTTCCAGTTCATTTAGTGGACATGATATTTATATTAGCAGGTACTTTAATGATTGAGTAGTGTTTATACTAACACTTATAGTGCTACTTAGTTTTGTATTATTGAATGATACAAGTTTACTTATTTTACATTATCTCAATATAAACATGTAAACATGTTGAATTCCTGGTTATAAATTAGGCAAATATGCTTGAGAAATTCATTAATTTTAGTGATGAAATCCATATAGTAAATACTTATTGATCAGCCACTTTTTGCAAGTCAGTAGGTTGCTGAGAGAGGATTCATATGTGCTTAAGTGGAATTGAGTATCTATTGTCCTTAGACTCATTAGATGCTATTAGAGTATTAACCACTAAAGAGGAATTCTGTGCTCATCAAAAGACCCTAATGGCAATAACCATCTATTAAATAGTGATGAGAGTGAGAAATGACTACATCCTCCCTCAGAAGTGTTGTTTGATGACTGACCCAAAAGTTCCTGTAGTATACCTGAGAGTGGTGATGTGGCTGAGTTTGCTGTTCAAGTTCCGGATGTACAGATAGTATTCCTGAGAGAGCGCTAGTATCCGAATGGGCCAAGCCAATTAGTGAAGTCATCCAACTGGAGTCGAGTGCTGACCTGTGGTCACCCCCTCAACCTTAGTCTCCCAGTGTAAAATGTTAATGGTTCTCCTGGCATAATCAGCTCCAGCCCTTCCTTTGTGAGACACATATCTCTAACTGAGACTCTTGGAGACAAAGCATCTAGATGGCTTTACTTAGGTCAGATACACACCTTTGCCTAAAGTAGAAGAGAATCTCTTCATTGATGCTTCCAATACTGCAAACAATTTTAGAGGAAGAGGACCTAATGGAAGGAAAATACGGGATGTTGGGGCAGCAGAGGGCAGATGCTGTCTAGATTAGTCCTGCTCAAGGATGAGGATGCAGGAAGAATGAACAATGAATTTTCTTTTTTTTCCTAATACTTTGAAAATTAAAACTTTAAAAAAACATGAGGACAGGCATTTGACTTAGTGGTTAAGACATTGGGTGTGAGTCCCACATCCCATGTCAGAATGCTTGGGTTTGATGCAGGGTTCTGCTCCAGGTTCATGCTTCTAGTTAATGTGTACTCTGGGAGGCAGAAGTAGATGGGTATCTACCACACACTTGGGCAACCTGGACTGAATTCCCAGTTGCTGGCTCTGGTCCTGGGCCCAGCCCCAACCATTGCAGGCATCTGGGGAGTGAATGTGACAATATATGGAGTATATGCCTCTTGTTCTTTATCTGTCCCTCCCTTCCTGTGTCTCCCTCTCCCTCTCTCTGTTTCAAATATAAATAACATTTTTATAAAGGGTGTGCAAAATACAAATGTGTATTTCAGTTATTCATTACTCTTTGCAGTTGCTATACAACTCTCAATGTTCGCTCTCCATCTCTGCACTTAGCACAATTGTGAAGGCTGTGCTAAGCCCCCTCTCCCTTGCTGGGAAAATCCCACTGCCTGCAGCTCTGCATTCCCTTCATTCTCACAGCATCGCCTCTTCTCATCCTCTCCTCAAAGGCTTGACCTTCACCACTCTGGGGAAACTGGAAGAAAAACCCAGTGAGTTCTTCCAGCAGGTCTCATGCTGAAGCTTTTCCTTGGTACTTACCACTTCATGACATGTCCTTAGTGACATCGTCACAAAGACACAGTCGCCTTTCTCTCCTCCCATGGAACAAAGCAGCTCTTGTTCTGTCTCTGATTAGCCTTCTACAAGAAATGCTTTTCTAAGGTTGTAACCCAGATAATGGTCACTGTACAATTCAAAAACGTGACGGGCAGTGTCTGGATTAGAGTTAGGGAATTTTCCTGAAGATTTCATTCTAACCACTGGCTAAAAAGGAACTGGTTTTGAGATCATTGCATGTCTGTGTTTTAGATGATGTCTGCGAGAAGAGAATAAACTGGATTTTTCTAAGGGATTATTCCTATGACCTCCCTTTGACAGCATGGAATAGTAATCAAATTGCTGAAAATAGAAGGTGCCTGTCACTTATGTCTAAAATTAAGGGATGGGGGCTGGAATTGTGGTGTAGTGGGTAAAGCCACCACCTGCGATGCCAGCATCCCATATAGGCAACAGTTAGTGTCCTGCTTGCTCCACAGCTTCCTGCTAATGCCTTGGGAAAAGCAGCAGAAAATGACCCAAGAGCCTGGGGCTCTGCCACCCACGTAGGAGACCCATAATAAGCTCCTGGCCTCTGTCTTTGGCTTGGCCTAGCCGTGGCTATTGTGGCCTCTGGGGAGTGAAGCAGCAGATCGAAGTTATCTGTCTCTCCCTCCCTCTTTCTACATAACTCTGAATTTCAAACAAATAAATCTTAGAGTATAAATTAAGGGATGGCCAACTTCTCTGAGTCCTCTTCCTTTCAACCCTGTGTTCTTTCCTTGCAGCCTGAACTTAGAGAGGTGGGATGAGTGGAACTATAGAGTGATGAAGTCAGAAGACACATTTCTTTGGCCAGTGACAAGTATCATTTCTCTGAATCTTTCTGTCCTCATTGGTTGTAGGAGGCGATTGAGCACCATGATGTTTGTAGATTTCTTTTTTACATTTCCTCAAATCCTTTTGTGTAATAGTGGCTTTCCCTTTTCTATGTTCGTGGTTATTTTTTAACCCTAACTTCTTGTTCTCTTCTAGCACCTGTGTTCTGATTAGTGGCCAGATGAATAACATTCAGAACTTCCACTAAGGTACAGTAAGGTAAGATCCTTTGTCTGGTTGACCTCTTTGCTTGAAGAAAGGGACTGATTGCTTAATCTATGAGAACAGTTGAATAAGGAAGAACAATTTGTAAGTTGGTGCTTTTCAACATGATTTACAGTTATTTCTGTGTGCAATATTAATGTAAATCTCTATCTGTCCTCATATTTCTGTGTCCTAATAAAGATAACACTCTAGTCATTTGTTTACTGAACTCAAAAATAGGATGAATGTCTGTACATTAAGATTTGGAATAAGTTAACTTGTTTTGAATTCTCCTTAACATCTTAACAGTAGTAATATGAAGAGTTTTTAGAATTGTGCAAAATGTTTGAATTATTATAGCAATACATTGGCCCTTACAACTTGTCTAATTCTTGCAAGCTTAAGAATTACCCCTTGGTTTATAGTGCCTGTATTCAGGATGATATACAAAATCTGATTATGAATGTAAAGAAACAGCAACATTAGAATAAAACTAATTGCTTTTAAATGGCATCATTAATAATACTTTCTTTACTAAACAAACACCAATAATATTCTACCCAAAGGTAATATTCTTACCTCCTAACAAAATCCATAGTACTGTGAAAGACAGCAAAATGCCGGATTTTAAAAGTCTTCGTCTTTGCAGACTCCTTTGCTATGGATACGTGGCCCAATTCCATCCCGACCATTTTGAATGATGGGCCTGGGAGAGAGCATCTCTTCCTCAATTAAAGGGGAAGACTTTCAAGAGAGAATCCTCTTGGAATGTTTCCTGTTGTTCCCATCCCATCATTCTTCCTGGGAAGCACAGTCCCCCTCTTGTCACAAGGGAAAAAGCCACAGCCAGAGATAATGGGGCAGGAAAGTAAAATGAGCTCAAGTCCTAACAAATGCACTATCAAATTTCTTCTGGCACTGGTTGAATATATTGAGACGTCTTCTGACACTTACAGCCAGATGTGGACTTGCATAATTCAGTAGCAGTTCTACTTGGAAATTGTGCCAGACATGTTTCTATGCGTGATTGACTCTTCACTGTAGTGCTGTTTTTAGGCCCATTTTATATATGAGAAAGCCAAGGCTCTGAAAGAACTTTGTTCTTTAGTAGAAAGACACCTGCTAGGTATATTTGCTGTACCTTGGTGTCACAGTGCTAGTCCTGACATATGGGGTCAGGGGCTTGTTCTGTTGCTGATGGTATTTTATAGGTAGTCAGTACACATTGTCAGTCATGAATGCTTTGCATACTGTTTAATAACACAGACTATCCCATAGATTATCTATTTATAAAACTAAGAGACCTGTGGATATTTCTCTATGGGGAAAAATGAGAACAGGGAAATGTTTGCTTTGGGAAAATCGGAATGAGTTTGAATTTCATAGGAAAGCAAGTGAAGGAAAATATAATTCTCAGCATATTGTTTTATATTCTGTTTTGAAATTAAAGTTTAGAACTAATGGTCTAAGCACAGCCACCAAAATCAGTATTTCACTTACAATTCTTTATTAGCTATCTTCTAACACTCTCCATTACTTCATGCATATTTGACAATAAAATATAATAAAATAATAATTCAGGTGAAGATAAGTAATATAATGAAATTCCTTTCCAAAGAAAGTCATGCGGGATCTTGAGTAGCGCACTGAGCTGACTCAGAAGGAGGAGCTGGATAATGGAAAAATTCCTGGGCTGGAAAATAAGAGACTGGAAATGCAGGTGATAGCTGAGCTTTTTTGTGCCATTAAAAAAAAAAAAAGCCATTTCACCTCTCTGAACCTTGGCTCTTTATTTGTAAATTGAGAGTGCAAGCTCTCCTGATAGGCTGTGAGAGCAAAATAATAGCTTGCCGCCATGAGTGGGTCCCCTTTGCTAATGCAGGGAAATGCTCTGGTATCTACTGAAGCCGATTTTTTTAATCATGCCTGTCGCCCTAAGAGTTACCAGTTGTTTTCATTTTCTTCACCTTCTTCTGAAGACAGCCTCAATCTCCTGTCTCTTTTGTTACAATCTCACTCCAAGTTATCTTCCTGTCTTGCCTAACCAAGGGCATTAGCTTCCTGGTGCTCACCTGGCTTCCAACTTTGCCACATCAGAATAGTTAGATGCATATCCATCATCCAGTTTGGCAGACATTGATCAGATCTTGTTATTCTCCCATTTTCAGCTTTCTCAAAACTCTCCAACTTTTTTTTCTTCTTTTATGGGAAAAACTCATATATATTACCAATGACTTACGAATCTGAAGTGATGTGATTTCTCCTTGTACATTTTCTCCCTGGGTTCCTGGACTCCAGTTTATTTATCTTTTTCTGTTTCCTGAGAGCTTCTGTTTGTTCTTCCCATTGGGTACGCCTGGCTTACCTGGCTCTGTCCCCAGCCCTTGCTTCTACCTTGCCTTTTCAGTTCTTAGCTTCTGTGATCTACTCTTACAGATCTGTCCTAGGTAGCCAGGTTTAATTTCCTTTAAAAGTTGGAGACTTTATATTTTAATGTGCATTAAAATAACCTCTTATAGACCATGTGTGTGTGTGTACAACAAGGAGAGACAAGACATGAAGCATTCTATCACACTTGTTTATAATATATAATTTCTCTTTCACATAATATGATCTAATTTCCATTAGGGAAGGGACTTGTCTGTTTTTTATCACTGTCAAAACCACAATGCCCTGCCCTGCAAAGGGCATAGTAAATATATATTTCATGAATAAATGAAGCATCATATAATGGCGTGGGTTTAGTGTCCCCAAAGAAATTAAGCTGTGCTTTGTAGATGTCCCTGGTGTGTGTATTGCTTAGATGAGAAGAAAACAGAAGAACAAAGCAAAAGTTGAAAGGAAGAATGGGACAGAGGAACACAGAGTACAGATAGCAGATAGCAACAAATAGTTGAGAATAATCTCTTCAGGATTTCTTTCAGTGTTGTTTCTGATCTGTAATGATAGAAGACAGGGCTCATTACTTTCAATCTTACATAGCTTTATAAACTAAGCCTAATATTTTTCACAGGCCGAGGAAAAAATGAAATAGTAAATTCATGAGCTCTAAGAACAAAATGTGGTCTTTTTGCTAACAGTCATGAAAATATTCCCTTGATGCCAGAATTTAGTCCCTGTTAGGAGCAGACATACGCGGTACAACGAGTGTGCCTGAAATAGCTCCGTCCAGTGGGAGGCACCTCCCTTACGGTATTGAAGATTTCATTCCATCTACAAGTACATTGTCACTGTGACTTTCCAGAATGGCACACCGTGCTGATGTATTAAAAATGCTGATGGGAAAATGGAAACTTGAGAAATGTCTTCTCTGTCAATTAAGTAATGTAGCCTCTTGGTTAGATTATAGCAATTCGAGGGCTTTTTGTTTTCTGCCAATGGAAATTTGACAGCTGTTTATAAAATATTTACATTCTGATTTCAGTCACATTGACAGTACTTTTGGGTCTTTGGAAGATGATAATTATATGTTAGGAAAATGTTTTAAAAATTGAAGCTGATCTGTTGAGAAGAAAGAATCTGTTTTTAAAATTGCGCAAAGGAACGGTTGAAAGAATTGGGTTCTTGGTGGGCATAGATGATCCCCAAGCCTTTGACCAGAGGAAAGGGACCATGGATGAATTGAATAAGCTGGGCTGCAGGATCACTTGTCTGAACGGTTCGCCACGGACTTGAAGTTGAGGGCAGGGAGGCAAGATATCACTGGGGCTGTCTCGGTTGTGGTCTTCAGTTAGGAGCTGGAAGCCTATGAAGCCTGCAAGAAGAGATCTCTGACCAGTGACATCACTGAGGAGCAGAAGGATGTTCGGAGCTGATCAGCAGTGTTTCAGTTCCCACTGTACTGGTTCCATGGGCCGGCTATCGTGAAGGACTGAAAGGACAGTGCCAAGGGTTTGCCTTCCACATCCCAGAATTCTACGATTCTGGTTTTCTCAACTGTGAATTAGCCCTCCTTTCTTTAACCACAGGAGGCTTGGCTGAGACTTACACAAAAGCCAGAACCATTGGGGGTTTTCAGTACTTCCTATGGCCTCTCCAGCATGGCACATGGCACTTCTGTGTATTTAAAGTTCCTGCTCCTCAGATCAATTTTGCTCCTGAGTTTGCATGAGAAGAAGAAAGAAAAGCAATGGTGGTATTCTGAGCCCCGCAGCTGAAAACTCTCTGGAAGGAAGCACCCATCCAGTGTACACCCCTTTTATGCTCGGGGTGGAGACAGTTTCTGCCACTTGCACATCATCATAAGGACACCACACCAGGGGACCAAGCACACGCACAGGTAGGATGGTGCTGGCATTCAATCAAATGACAGCAGAGTGCACCAGGTGGATTTAGCAGTGTACTGAGGCTTGTCTTCAGTCTTAAACAGCCAGATCAAGGGTTTCAGTCATCATCCAGTTGTAGTGAATTCTATTCCAACAGATCATCATTCACCCAATTTTCTTCACAATCATGGTGATTTCTAATTATCATATAGTTCTCTGACATAGAGCTGGATTTGATACATATATATTGTGTGATATTTTGATACATGTTTACAATGTGTAGTGATCAAATCAATGTAATTAGCCTATCACCTGAGACACTTGTTATGGTGAGACCATTCAAAATCCTCTCTGATAGCTACCTTGAAATATACAATATCGTTACCTAAAGTTGCACAAACGAACGAAGCATTGCTACTTTTATGAATGGATATACTTCTAATCAAAGACAGAAATAGATTTATGATCCCGAGACATAAGTTAGATAATGTATGGGACTACCCTGCCTGTTTGTGGGACCTTGGCCTTCCTTTCTTTCATTTTTTTTTTCAGTGTTTATTCATTTTCAGGTACTTGAAAGGCAGAAAGACAAAGCGAAAGAAAGAGAGAAATATCTTCTATCTGCTGGTTCACTTCCCAAGTGCCTGAAATAGCCAGGGATGGGTCAGGCCAAAGCCAGGAACCATGAACTCTATCCAGTCTCCAGCATGGGTGGCAGGATTCCGAGTACCTGAACCAGCTTCTGTTGCT